TTAATACATGCAATTTAAAATCAAAAAGTCAAATTCAAATGCAATACAATGATTTATTTTTGTCAAGTAAATGGCAACATAACCAATGCTACAGTGCCTATGATTAGCAGTGATTGTAACGACCAAGCTCAGTTGGAGCTTACATTGGTGTCAGCGCGTTGTGAACGTGATGTTTGCGATTTTATCGCATTAACCCGTAAGTGGTCTAAATATGCCCTAACTTTTGAGTGCCTTTGGAATGGTGTAAAAGATTTAGGTAGAAATAGTTGTACCCATGACTCAGACGCTAGCAATGAATGGCGAGGCTTTGTATTACGCGACTTTTCGGCGACCAATAAATCACAAATGTTGCTAATTTCGAGTCATATTTATCGGCCAATCGGAAACAATAGGCCAAAAATTTGGTACATGTTTGGAGGTAGTATCAAATAATAATATTCATAGTGGTTAAAAATATTAATATAAATATAATAATATAAACATCTAGGTAATAGAGAGTTCGTTGGCGATTACATACAATCAATGATGTCTGTGCAAGCGTTTCGAGAATCGTGGTCAGAATCGGCCAAAATAGTCGCCCCATTGGGCGTCAATCTCATGGACTGTATTAATGGCTATCGATTCAAGTTTGGGGACAAACCATTTGGCGGAGTGGGATGTATACCGTGTTTGGCCTATCAGTTCGCTATCGTAGACACGTTACGATCGCTGGGCGTTACGCCCGACGGCTACTTTGGCCACTCGTTAGGCGAAGTGATGTGCGCTTATATGGACGGGTGGGCCGATAAGGGCCAGTGTTTGTTGGCGTATATCGCAGCGCAATTGAGCGCCACAGATAAATACCAAGATGGCATGTTACTGCAAGCGGCCACCGATTGCACCTGGTCTGAGCTGACCGCTCGGTGCGAGCGCTGGCCACCAACACCTGCCGGCCGGCCTACTCTCTACCCGAGCCATCACCTAAACGTCAGGCGCACTCACGTGACCGGCTATGAAGCGCCAGTTCGGGCCCTGATTGACGAACTGAACGCTCAAGGGCAAATGGCCAAACCATTATGGTTGGCCCCTTATAGCGTACACACCGGCTCGGCATTCATGGCCAACACGTACGACACGTTGCTTAAGCAGTTTGAACGCGTAGTGCCGGACCCTCAGCGCCGGCGACACAGCGCCCGTTGGCTCACTTCAGTGCCGCCGACGAGTGGCGGGCCGTCTCTATCATCGCCTCCCGAATACACATTCGCCGAGTTTATGGCGTTAATGGTTTGGTCGCCGGTCGACGTCAAGTCGGCTGTGGATCGACTGCCGGCCGACGCACTGGTCATTGATATCTCAGGTCAGCGCGATTTGAGACACGTTGTGCTCAAAGACAGACCTCAGGCTATATATATTGGTTGCACACGAGTTGGGCCCACAATAGCCAACCAATCGGTGGCTGCTAATGGTTTGCAGCATTTACTGGAAGATCTTGGACATTTATATACCGCTGGCCATATGATTTCTATTTGATTATTTTTATTAAAACCATGTAATGTGAGATCTTATATAATCTAGATAGAAACATTTTAATATGGTTGATAGCAAATAATAAACATATCAATCTTGCAATTGTGAAACATTTATTATTATAATTTTTGATTACTTGAATATAATGTATCCTAGTTGAGCTACCAATACTATTTTACGTAAATGAGTTATACTGAAACACAATACTAATTAATACATACGATATGCTACCCATGTTTTGGAAAATGCATAAAACTTTTAAATTTTATTGTAAGATATCTCTTACTATTTTTATTTTAGGAATTTTAAATATTTTTAACAATAATTAGTTTTATTAAAAGTTTTAAATTTGTTTAATCTATTTTCATGCAAAGTTGAGTAAAAGTAAGTTTTAGTTCAACATTATGTCTATAAAGAAAACTGTTTGAATTTATTTTTGAACTAACGATTTATTACAAAAATAACCCGGATTACTAAATATTTTAATGTATGATTTGAATGTCTAGACTTAATACTTTTCATGCAAACATGAATTGCAATAAAAGGTAAATTGCAAGTAATTGTAAAACACAATATAATATTGGCATTTAATTTTTTTTAAAAACCATTAATATTGCAACATTTCATTGATGTTTACGAAAATGGATTTTACTGGAAAAGTGGCACTGATTTTGGGTAAACTCTACAACAATTACATTACTATTAAATCAAATTGTATTTACATTTTATAATCACTACATTTAAGGCTCGTCTTCGGGTATCGGCGAAGCGATTGCCATAAAGTTGTGGTCTTTGGGCGCGAATGTAGTCATCACTGGAGGGGATGAGAAACGTATCGCAGAAGTAGTGAACAAATGTCAGCCGCGGGACAATCAGCGAACACTTGGAGTTAGAGCCGACGTATTGGTGGACAAGGATTGCGAGCAATTGGTGGCGACGACTATCGCAGAGTTCGGCAAAATTGATATTTTAGTCAATAATTTTGGCGGCGGAGAGGGATTTGGCGCAAAATTTGGTGACCAAAACTATCTTGGTTCGTACGATCGAATCATGAATGCCAAACTAAGGCGAGTTCAAGTATTCACCTTGCTAGTTTTGCCTCACTTGGAGTTAACCAAGGGCAATATTGTTAACATTTCTAGCATCGCAGCTTTCACCCCGGTAAGTGCAGTTACTTATATGTTATAGATATAAGCTGTAATCGTATAGATCGATCATATAAATCACATTTTTCATAAATAAATGTTGGTTAAGAATTAACTAGGATAACTAAACTTTATATAACTTTTAAAATTTTAACTAACATTTTGTTTTGCATCTATTCATATCAAATTCAAATTAAGAGCTCTAAAATGATGCTCCACTGTATGGCCAAATGTGCCCTGGACATGTTCACCAAATGTCTAGCCTTACAGCTTGGACCTAAAGGAATCAGGGTGAATAGTGTCAAGTAAGTATAAATAGTACTATATTTTGTAATATGGAATTCGCACCATCTACATTAGCTACATGTTCTAATCTAAATGTTTATAAATATATATCAATATGTAAAAATTTATATTATCCAATAATACAAATGTGCGTGTACTTTATGTATTTATATTTACATGTCTAATATTAATAAATTAATCTAGTTGCAATTGCTTATAGCCCGGCTACTATACGGACGCCAATCTTTGAACGAATCACAGGAGACACCAAACTATTGGACCAATTGGTGATCCACTGCCGGCAGACGTATCCGTTGGGCCGAATCGGCGAACCCGAGGAAGTGGCCGAAGCCGTGGCCTTTTTGGCCAACGAGAGCAGCGCTTCGTTCATCACTGGACTCATTATGACAGTCAATGGGGGCGCCAATCATTTGCCCAATTAATTATGTGCGACTTGTGTTTACTACAATAATTATGTTATTTGCTTTAAATAACCTTTGTAAACCTTATATAATTTAAGCAACTTTATTATTAATAATAAGTTATTATTATCCAGTCCGTCAATAATGATCCGCCAGTCTGAAATCGGAATATCTCCTAAACCAAATGAGTTGGATCAAATCTGTAAATTGTCAAATGTTGCCCCATATATCTAATATTTTTTGCAGAAAAAATTATTGAAATCACGTGACTAGAACATAGAAATTTTGGGGTCATTTTGAAATGCTATGGTTTTAGCCCAGCTGAAAGGGGGGTCAGAAGGGGGCGGGTATGCTATTCGAAAGAGGAGATGTCAAAGAGTAATAATAACTTAAAACCACCAACATCGAATNATCGAGTTAATTGGTGTCGCGCAACTCATACCGCGTGAACCCCTCCTTTACTAAACGCCACCCACCAGGTATAAAACCGCCCTCCAACCCAAAAGCCAGCGGCTTGTGGTTCTCGACTTTGTCATCACTTTGTCTTTGACTCTAAGTCAAAGACTACCGACTTTAAGCCTATAGTATGTGCCGCCTCGGCCTGCATTGAGATACTCACAGCTCGCCAACTTACTATTAATCCTCACTAACTATTCTCATCTAATGTGTATTGTGACTAATATAAACTCTAAATAAAGCGAATATTTCGTTTAAACCCTAATTGTGTTATTAAGAAGAACGAAGAGTCGAGACGGTACGAAGAAGGGCGACCTAAGCGACCGCGTCTAAAGTTAAGTACGGCATCAGTGGACTCGCAAAGGTAAAGTCGAATTACGTTCAATACTCAGTTAGACATGGTTAGGGGGGTGACGATCAGAGGCCGCGCCCGAGAATGCAGAAGCCGCCAGCCTAAGATCATATTTGGACTCGGGGCGACCCAAAATCGTTACAATACCTATTGCGGCACCATGCTCATATAGAGAATCGCCTAATTATTGCGAAATTGTTTGTACAAGTAAAGAGTGGTTTGATATAAAGGCCACATTTAGCGACTTATACCGTAGACTACCGGCCGATAGGAAACCATTTCGTGGCCTAATACTAGAGGACACAACTATAGAGGAATTGCCGGCCCAGTCGTTCGGAGGCATACAGTTTGGAGAGTTTAGCATTTATAATGCCAATAATTTAAAGCGCATTAATATCGCCGCGTTTGATGGCACGGCCGCCACCTTAATGGAACTTTATATCACTGGTGCCGAATTGCTCACCGAATTGACCACAAACGACACGGATTTGTTTGGAGCCATAAACACGTTGACAGCGTTAGAAAGGTTATCGATGTTTAGTACGGGCGTTGGTACTTTACAATCGTTTAGTTTATCAGGCTTACAACATTTAAACTATATAAATTTAAAATCTGATTCAATCAAGTACATATTTACCAATGCGTTCAACAATTTACCTGCGCTCACACTCTTGGGATTTGAAAGCATAGAACGTGTGGCCGAACACGCGTTTACTGTCGGTCATAACACTACTGACCGGCGTTTATCCATATGGTTTGATCATCAACCCGACGACCCGTTTGATAGCCGGGCGTTAGAGTCGATCGGATGCCCGACTACTATAACACTTGACGGCGAATCCATGAAATACTTGGATAGCAATGAATTTCGAGTGTTTTTGAATGAAAATCCTATGAATAGAGTGTTTGACGAGAGTATCGATTGCGCCGATAGTCGTAACCAATGGGTAAAAGACAATATCCGCGCGTTTGGAAGGATTTGGAATGCATTTAAATTTATGGTAATTGGGTTATCAATACAATTCAAACAAGAATATAATGAATAGTTTGTTAGTTTAATAAATAGTGATTTGTCTTGATTTTTATATTTAAGATTAATTATATAAATAAAGTCTGTACAAGTAAAACTGTACAGTACGTATTTTTATTTGGACACATTGATTTTGTATTTTTAGCATTATCTGCATTATTTCTACTATTAATTATGATTTAATGTGTTGTTATATTATTATACTGTAATGTGTTAATAAGAATATAGATGAATTATTAAATACAGCATATTAACCTCAATTATCTTTCTAAATTGTGGCTATAAACATATTAATGTTAACTCAAAAAATACATAAATTTATAATTTAAAAAAGAAAATATTACATTTTTTATTTTGTATTTTGAAGATCATATGAATAAAACTCAAATAATGCTTTAGTTAATTTTAATTTTTGCTAAATTATATATATTTCTAAATTGTTTATTGATTTTAAACTGAAAACGTAATAAAAACAAAATTATTAAAGATTTTCATTTATTATTAAACAAAACATATTAATATAAAATATTTTATTTAAAAATAAATTATGCAAATTGTTTTTATGTTATATTTATATAATAGTTATTACAATTGTACCATTTATTATTACTTACAGTATATAGTTAATTTATGCTTGATTAATATGCAATATATTGTATAGCTAATAATATTAAATATTACATTAAAATATTACAGCTGCCATTACATTACATTATCAAAATATATTGAAAATTAAATTTGTACATCATGGATAATTTTTATACATTAGGACAAACATATGAGTTTATTAAGTTTCGGGCGCAACACGTATTTCATAAATTTATTAATTTAGTTAATATGTCATTTATTGATTGCGATCAATTTAATAACGATGGACATTTGCCGTATGATTACAGCCAAAGCATATTTAAACTAATGGTGTATAAAAATAATGTATTATAATTTATCAACATTTTATTTCCTGTATCATAATTAATAATTTTATAATTTATATTATTATTTTTTAAAGTATGCCTATGTACCCGTTGGCTTTTCAAACAATCTTATTTATATTCATTCAAATGCTATATCGCTGCTGGTAAGTTTAGCTCGCCGAGTAAATTATAGGTAAGTTATTTTTATCTGTGCGTTATATAAACACAATCATACTAATAAATAATATAACATTAGTTATTAACATTATATTTTAAATAATTAAAATATTAACATTATACTATATCGTATATAAGTTGTATATTAGAATTTTTACTTTATTTTATTTGATTATGCTAGCGTGCATTTATACTCGTTTCAATGTGATAGGCAAACAAACATCATGGGTATTACTGAAACAGAGCTTTTGCATCAAGATCGTCTCACAGCATACGCAACAATGTTACATGTAGACAATAATTCGTACATTCAAACAATGGCCCAATTTGATAATTGTACCTGGCCATTTTCCATCGCCTACCAATTCAGCTATATAACATATGACAGATTTGATCCCTACCCTCCATTAACAGACATAATGTCTATATTTGGCAAAAACGTCTGGCTATGCCTTTGTATGGCGTTCATAACCATAATCATTATGGATAAATTAACCGACAAAGTTTTGGCCAGAATAGACTCAAGTAACGAAACTACCATAATGAAAAAAGGGTGGATTTATCTAAAAGCCCTATTACTAATTGGCCACAAATTTCGTTACCATAATTACTTGTTTATATTATGGTTAGCGTCGGTAACGCCGCTAATCTACATCATTCAAAACGATGTGACCGGTACTATAGTAAACAGGGGTATGCACTCTACGGCCACCATGGACAATCTAATGAACACTGAACGTGATGTGTACGCCTGGGAAGAGCACATCACTGCAATTAGCTCTAGGATAGAGAGTTATAAGTATTCGGATCCGGAATACAACAGTAGAATGACCAGATTGTTGCGCAAAATACGTCCTGTATCGGACGAGATTGTCACGCGACTCGCCGATAGCGGCAATAATATTCAAAAGTTGTACGCTATGCTCGATTACATGGCATATGTATCATCACCGGGCGGTATCGCATCGTTAAAACTGTTGGGAACGCTATTTAGACCATGTCACGTGGGTCAACCCGAGCTGCCCTACTTTAGTACCTTCATGTGTTTTGGGCCGTGGTTTGAATTCGTGCCGGAAGTAAACTCGTTGTAAGTTAAAATTGTACATAGTAATACAGTGCAACTTCTCCATAGGGAACGGCCAGTTGCACGGCAAAAGTGTTCCCTATAGAGAGGGTTCCTCCAAGGGAGGTTTGAGTAAAAATGTCTT